GGGGCATGGTATAATGGGGGTTAGAGGTAACTGGGATTGATACATAAAATAAGATGGTTTCTAATTTAAATTTTAAAAAAGAAAAGAAGAAAAAGACTCTGCTATGAACCTACATTATCAGTGCTACTGAATTCTGCAATCTAAGAGGTCACCACTGCTGCCTTTCCATCAGATATCACACATAAACTCCTTTGTAATATATGCAATGTTCTGGAGTCTGAGTCTTAGCACCATGTAGAAACACTGGAGCCTCCAGGCTGGAGAGAGACCTGTCTGCTGATGTCTTTATTTTCCCTGGAATCAATTCCAGGATGCATTAGCCCAGCAAAAGTATAAGGCAACTCACTTGAGTGAATATTGTACACTTTGTATGTGAACAAGTTTTCTGTGTAGAGAATACATCTTTTCCTAAGCACGCATAGGTGCTACAGATAATGTGCACATCATAAAGTGGAATGCCTTGCTTTTCTTCCTACACATTCTGTCCTGTACTAACTTTTTCTAATATTGGTAATTGTCTCTATGGAGGCAGAGACATACCATGAGATAAGCTCCCTATGTGTTTGCATTCTTTCAGAATTCGATATAAGCTGGATCAAGACTCTGAATATCAAGTATCAGAACCTCCAAGGACACTTTTGTAAACCAACGAATAATTTAGGTTTTACTTCCAAAATACTAGCTCCAATACTATTTTAAGGATGATCCCAGGGTGCATATACAAAATATAAAGAAAGATCAGAGGGCTGCAGTCGGATTGATCATGTTTCCCATGTATACTAACTGGAGTCTTGGATTCAAGGCTGAAGCACCATTTCCACTCAAATTCTGGAGAACTACAAAGAGGAATCCTGACAAGACAAACTGATTGCTTCAAGGAATAAAAGTGTTCTCCTGGCCTTTATTCCTTTTCCTTTGTCTGATGGCTCTGATATGGTGGCAGAGTGAATAATGGACAGATCTATGGAAACTTAGTATCTTTAATTCCTAGTTAAAAAAATACAAACTCTTCCTAGATTCCCTCATATTCTAGCAATCACCAAGGCCACACACTACCTAATAAATCTCTCCCCAATGACAGAGCCTGGACCACATTGGGTCACACACTAATCCTGCATTCCCATTGTAGAAATTTAGATGAGAAGGGAACAAAGATTTGTTCATCGAAGCATAACAAAGAGTTCTGGAGTCTATGCCACATATTTATTATGTGTTATATGTTATTCTTGAGAAATGAAGTAAAAAGATGAAGTCCCACTTCATAAATACATTCACAAAACAAAAGTTGATGTATAGAATAATCTATCCAAGTCACAGGTTCTCTTCCTATGGACATGCATGTTCTCTGCTCTCCTACTGCTGATTAAGAAACCATTACAGTAAGAAATGGATTCCATACAACACACACAAATATTCTAACTAAAATTTACCATTTGTACATTGGTCCACTGATGGGGCATGTACTTCAGTATATATGTTTCTTTACTGGTTGATGAATAAACACTTTTTAGCCAATGAGGCAAGATGATAGGTGAGACCAAGAGAATTCTGGGAAAGGTAGGCAGATTTAGCCCATGACAGAGTCACCATGCTGCCAAAGGAGTAACAGCATGTGAGGGCATTATCAGGTAAGCCACAGCCTCGAGGCAATACATAGATTGATAGAAATTGGTTAGTAATTAAGACAGAGCTAGCCAATAAGAATCCCTAGCATTCGGCCAACAGTTTCATAATTAATACAGGGTCCTTGTGTTTATTTGGGCTAAAATTGCCATGGAACCTGACAGGAAAGAAAATCCAGTTAGCATCCAGTCTAACTCCATATGTAGAAGGAAGAGTGGTTCTCTAAGATTTTGAGAGTTTACTTCAGAGGAACTCTCCAGTCTAACAAGTAAGTGATGCTGGTGACAAAAGAACACTCAGCAGGACTGTGGTCTGAGACAAGATGTGCAGCCTACAACTATCCATCCTGCCTCAGGAGAGGGGAATCATCAGACAGTTGTCACTGAATGAACCTGAGTGGGTTTTAATGATAATACTTGTAAATATTATAAACCAAAGATTATTTCATGAGAGCGCTGGCTATAAGTATTTCTGGTCTATCACTATGAGAGGCTTCAGTTCTTCTCCTGTGGTCTCCTCTGCAAGACTAGGAGTTCCTCAAAGTATAACTCATGGGTTCTAGTGTGAACACGTTCCTGAGTCCCTCTTGACTGATATAACACAACACCATGTATCAGGTCATTGATAACTGTATTATACATAGCAGATGGCACCAATTTCCTGCAGTTATAGAACCTATGAGTCTAAGATGAAAAGTGTCAAAACATTTATTCTGTGGTGATAGCCCATTTCCTGGTTGATAAAGATACTTTAAAACAATGACCCCACTTAGAAAAAGGGACAAGTCAGTTCTCTCAGCCTCTTTTATAAAAGACCTACACCATCAGTGTGGGTTCTTCCCTGTTGACCCAATCTTCTGAGAGAAGACCCCACACATAAATTTCATAATCTTTAGGAGAAATGTTTCCACAAATTAATTTCAGTAAGAGGTAAGCATTCAGACCATAACATCATCCACTAAGAAGAAAATAAGAATATTTCAAGTCTTGGAAACAAAACTACACCATGGTGACATGTGTGAGATTTTGTTACTGGTCAGGAAATTATTAAATATATGCTCAAGAGGACCTGGAAAAGCCTTCATTTGGATGCACATGTCACACAATTTCAGGGCATCATAAAGCACTGTTTGCCCTCCTAGGAGCTGTGTGGTGGAAGGCTGGTGCAGCTCTATCAAGGTCAGAATGAGTCTAGCACAGCCCTTATGGATGGCCTGTATTGCTTTAGGTATAATGCCTCTAAAAACATCACTTTCCAAGCCCATCTAATGCCACTTTCTCTGCTATCTGTCCAGCCTGTGGGAAATCCAGAAGACATTATGTCTCAAGCAACACTCACAAGTGTGTTTTGGCCATGTTGTTATAGGTACCTGTTTATCCTCAACCAGTGGCCAAAAATGGCTGTACCAAGTACCTCCAGAGAATGTCACGAAGTATGCATATCAATCACACAGGAGACACCATCAGAAAGTGTACAGCCACACATCAGAACTAATGTACAATCTCATCCCTACTCCACTGAGTGCCTTACCTCGCTCTAATGCTTGTAACCTAGGTTCTGAGGAGGCTCACTGAGAACTAGCTTTCAAATCCTTCTCTACACATTCATTGCATATTTATTCTAGTCACTGTCACCAAGTATAAAGCATGATTTGTGAGTCACACATTGCCTTTGTGCTCTTTTATACTTACTGACATTAGTGATTAAGCCTCAGCCACAGGCCTATGGCGTCCAGGATCCACTGTGTAAGCAGCGATGGACAAACAAGTGTTGTCTAGTCCTGGATAAGATAGATAAGGGCTCCTTCTTGGAAGCCCTGCCTTGCCCCAGCTTTTCCAAATTGCCTAACTGTCCTTGCACCACAGGTGTTGGAAATACCCAACAGAAATTAACCACAAAATTATTAGGACATCACAAGTGACCATTTAATAGGGCAAGTCCTTTCTGTGAGGGCACAGCTGCTGTTGCATCCCAAGATCTGGACAGAGGAGTCCTGTCTCTCCTGATCTTCTCTCTGCACAGCCCAAGGATCTGTAAGTAATGAAAGTCTGTGAATTTTCTAATATCGGTATGTAATTGGAAGCCATCTGCAACTGACTCCCTAAGGAAAGGTTGCTCTGGGGCACCCACATATGCAGACACACTTCTAGGGCTCTACTGTATGGGCCTCTGGTGGCTTCTAATGATAGTATTTACAGGGTCAGGGGAGTTTCAAATCTTATTTCAAAACACAGATGTCTTCCTTGTCATTCAGGTATGGGGAATAATAAATCTGAAAAATGTCTTTCTTTTTTAAGAAATATCTCTTTGGTGCACATACCTGTTATTGATTGACTTGTTCTTGACTTCTGAGTTGCAGTCATAACTTCCATGTGGATAATAGTTTCCTCTCAGGTGTCTGCTTTGCCACCCTTTCCCACCATGTTCTAGTTGGCCATTCCACTCCTGTGCTTATTTCTTCTCTTATATAGATGCTGTACAGCCCAGTACAATCATGCTTGCACACATTGCTTTATTCCTAGCACATTTGGTATCATACAAGTAATCACTGCCAAGGTCCAGCTCTAAGTTTCTTCCAGTAGATTTATGCTTTCAAGTGTTGTGTTCAGGACTCTAGTTCATTTTATTTGAGATAAAGATCCAATTGTGCATCAAATCAGTGGTTTGTGTGCTTTAATACTGACAGTCTTAATTTCCACTCATAGAAGTGGAAAGAATAAACACTTTTCCTTCCTGGACCAATCCTAGACTCCCAGATTTCATTTCTGCCATAATTTCATTAGATCTACGTGGTTCTCACATGTGCTTTCACAGATTGAATCCCAACTGACTAGATCTATGTGATCATCACATATGCTATGACAGATGATACCCAAACTGTTTAGATCTATGTGGTCTTCCCATGTACTATAAGAGATTCAATGCTAAGAAGCCTTGACTAACAAACATCATCAGGATTCAGGATTGAACCCAGAGTCCACAACTTCAGAAGGTGTCAGAATCCATCTTCAGAGATTTAGAGGAATTGTGTACCTGAGCTTAAAGAATGAGACTGCTGCTTCTTTTCTTCTTTTTTTTAACATTAAAAAGTAAATGGTCATTCAAGTGCTAAGTACAAAATGCAAGAAACAGCAGGAAATGGTAGCAGAGTCATTTCATCCTAACTTATTAAACCAAAGGTAGTCACCAAACACACAGGTGGAGGCATTTTATGACGGAAGCTGTGTGTACTAGAGTTTCAAGAGGATCTTAAGGACAGCTCCCTCTTCTGAACCATGCAGACCCTGTTCAACTGCAGGGTCCATATGGACCCTTCTCTTCACACACCCCATGCACTTGAATACTATTTTTTTTCAATCTCTAGAAAACCCATGGCCATGAGGACACTCACTCTTCTTGTTGCCCTTCTTCTGCTGGCCTTTGAGACCCGGGCAGAACCTTTTGAAGGAAGTGCTGAGGAGCTTCTAGACCAGGACCTTCTGGGAGAGGATGACCAGGATATGTCCATATCCTTTGGAGGGGATGAGCGCACTGCTCTTCAATATGCAGGTGAGAGACGTCGACATGTTAGAGGTATGGAGTAGAGAGAAGGGATGGGAATAAACTCTGAAATCAGATCACCCAGGAAAATTGATTACTTCTTTATTTTTCTCATTCAACAGCAGGAGCCAAATAAATAATTTCTTTCTGCAATGATTTTTGTTCCAATATATGTTTGTGTCTATTACTGAGTTTAATATATAAAGAGTTTGTAACTAGGTGTTTTTCTAGATCCAAATGGCTAGACTTCATCATAGGTAAGATACTTTATTATGTCTCTTATAATTTGGTATCTTGAGGTATATGTTTAAATATTTATGTTATGGCAGGATACACAAAAAATGTGTGATGGTAGGAGCATAAAAGTGAAAACAAACAAAATTAAGTCAAATTGGTATAGGTCTTCAGTTTTGTGCAGGTCCAGTCTTCACCATGTATATTTGTTCATATTGATTGTGATTGCTCAGATTGCTGTCAGTAATGATGAATATGGGGGACCCACTTCACCCAGAACACATCTTGCCCAGGATCTCTCCCACCCTACTGACTCAGACACTGAGTGCTTCCTGTGATCTCTGTGTCCCCAGATGTGAGGTCACGTGTGACCTGCTATTGCAGGAGAGGCGGCTGTGGTTCTAGAGAAAGCCACATTGGGTACTGCAGGTACCGTAACATCATCTACCGACTCTGCTGCCGCCGATGATCACTAAGAACAAGAAGGATCGGTTTGCATTATGAGTTGGGAGCCTGAAGAATACTATTTGTCCTGTGCTGTGCCCTTGAGTTTCTTCCTCCTTTGTATCTAAATAAAGTACTTGCAGCAAGTTCTTTGTGTGTTCTTGTGCTTTTCTTTTGTCTCCAAACAAGACTCTGAGAATCAATATTAGATTGCTATAAAGAACTTCCTGGCTCCGGATTGTAGGAATATCAGGGCTATCAGCTTCTGGTGAATAATAAGAATTGTCAATTCTATTGTAATCATTCTAATATTTTATCTCCTAACTCAGCATCCTTTAGATTAGAAACACTTTAAAGCCATTGGTAATGTGAGATGTAGAAAACATCATGATTATCTTCCAGTGTCTGTAGTTGTAATGACCTAAATACTAAAGGAAGCCAACATCCTCATTCTTAAAGTTAGGATTTCCCTGAACAGGCCAAGATCATATCTCTGCCCATAAAGCCCTAGAGTTGTGTCAGCTACACATACACAACTTTAAGTAGCATTAAGAAGGGTTACTGCATGTTACAATCTAGAGCCCCATAGTGGATAGGTAACAAGGAGGATCCCAGAGGTTACACATGGATTATTCTAGGAAGGGGAAATAGAAGAGATTTCCTGGGCAAACTGGGGGCTGGTAGCAATGGATACATGAGGGATCAGGGTAGGTTAGAAGGAGAAAGTAATAAAAGAAATAATTTGATGTGCAGGGAGTAATTTGGGTGCCAGGTAGAAATCTGGTGTAAGGGAAATGACCACCATCTACAAGGATGACCCCAGCTAAGACTCCTAGCAATAGTGGCTGGGTAGTATGAACTGGCCGTCTCTTGTAATCAGATTGGTGACTATCATTTTTTAAAATTTTTTTATTAGTTCAAATTAGAAACAAGCTTGCCAAAGTCCCTTCTTACACCAGGGATAAATACTGATATACTGCCAGGGGCCTCATAGAGTGCCGAGGCCTCCTCATTGACATCCACTTCAGGGATCTGGGTCAGTCCGGTGCTGGCCTCCCAGACATCAGTCTGGGGTCCATGTGCTGCCCCTTGTTCAGGTCAGCTGTTTCTGTGGGTTTCACCAGCCTGGTCCCAAATACTTTGTTCTTCAATCCTCCCTCTCTGCAACTGGGTTCTAGAGTTCAGTTCAATGTATAGATGGGGGTGTCTGCCTCTGCTTCCATCAGCCACTGGATGAGGGCTCTAGGATGGCACATAAGGCAGTCATCAGTCTCATTATAGGGGAAAGGAATCTAGGGTAGCTTCTCCACCATTGCCTAGATTGTCAGTTGGTGTTATCTTTATAGATCTCTGGAAATCTCCCTAGTGCCAGATGTCTCCTCGGACCTATAATGGCTCTCTCTGTTATGGTATCTCTCATCCTGATATCCTCTATTCTTCCCCCAACTCAATCTTTCTGCTCCTCCATTTCCTCCTCTCCTCTCCTCTTCTCCCCCTCTCATTCTGGCAGTTCCCTTTCCCCTACCCTCATGGTCTCGGATAGCTCAGGAGATCCTGCCCCTTCCCATTCTCCTGGGCCCATGCATTTTTCTCTTAGAGCCCTTCTTGTTTCCTAGTTTCTATGGTGATGAGGATTGTAATCCTTTTCTCTATGTCTAAAATTTATATATGAGTGAGTACATACCATGTTTTTCTTTTTGTGACTAGGTTACTTCACTCAAGATGGCTTCTTCTAGTTCCATCCATTTGCCTGAGAATTTCAAGATTCCATTGCCTTTTTCCACTAAATAGTACTCCATTGTGTAAATGTGCCACATTTTCTCCATCCATTCCTCAGTTGAGGGGCATCTAGGTTGCTTCCAGGTTCTGGCTATTACAAACAATGCTGCTATGAAGAACATAGTTGAACATATGTCCTTGTATGAATATGCATTCTTTGGTATATGCCCAAAAGATGAATTGCTGGATCTTGAGGTAGATTGTTTCCCATTTTACTGAGAAACTGCCATACTGATTTCCAAAGTGGTTGTACAAGTTTGCACTCCCACCAGCAATGGAGGAGTATTCCTTTTTCTCCACATCCTCTCCAGCAGAGACTGTCATTGGTGTTTTTGATTTTAGCTATTCTGGTTGGTGTAAGATGGTATCTCAGAGTTGTTTTGAGTTGCATTTCCCTGATGGCTAAGGATTTTTTGCACTTTCTTTTGTCCATTTGGCCATTTTAGATTCCTCTGTTGAGAATTGTTTATTTAGTTCTGCACCTCAATTTTTAATTTCATTGATTGGTGTTTTGGTGGCTAGCTTCTTGAGTTCATTGTATCTTTTGGATATCAGCCCTCTGTCAGATGTGGAGTTGGTGAAGATCTTTTCCCATTCTGTTGGCTGTTGTTTTGTCTTACTGACTGTGCCCTTTGCCTTACAGAAGCTTTTGGTGACTATCTTAATTGTCATAAGAAAGTCTTTGTTCAGTAACTGATGGAAGCAGATGAAGAGAGTCACAGACAGGTTCTTGGCCAATCTCCATAATTACTGTTGAAGAGAAGAAGGAAGGATTGTATGACACTGAAGAGTCAAGTTTATCACAAGGGAACCCACAGAGATAAGTAACCTGACCTCACAGGAGCTCACAGTTAAGGAACCCACATGTGGGTGATATAGGGCTTTTGCATACATAGAATTGAAGTATAGCGTGGTCTATTTGTTGGACTCCTAGCAGTGGGAGCAGGTCCTGTTTCTGATGCTTTGGCAGGCTTTTGGGAACCTAGTCCTCATACTGGGTTGCATTACCAAGGCATAATAAGAGGCATAGAGCTTAGTCCTACCTCAACTTGATATGCCATGCTTAGTGGACACCCACAGGAGGCCTGCCCTTTCTGAACAGAAACAGAGAAGGTGTGGATTGGGAAGGGGCAGTGGAGTTACAAAGGGGGAATGAGAGGAGAGGAGGAAGGGGAAACTACAGTCAGGTTGTAAATAAATGAATATATTTAAATAATAAAAAATAAAAGAACTTTCAGAAGCCAGGGCACAAAACAGGAAGTAAAGCAGCGATTCCCACCCAGATGTGCTCATCTCTGTCAGGGACAGTAGAAAAGTTCCATTACGGAACGTCTTAAGGTCCAGTCTCAGGCTTAAGTAAACAGGAGCACCCAAAACCTCCGGTCCGCTATTGTATTGTTAATGCCAGCAGGTCTACTATTGTTTACCATGGCCTCACAGTAGAATGCCTCCTAGTTCACATCTCTATGGGCCTATGCATCTGAATAGGCTTACACCTGGGCAGAGGTCAGAGGTGTGTAAGTAACAAATGAGGACAGAGAGTGAGGATCCATCAAGGAGAGAGGAGTGAACAGAAGGACAGAAATGGCCTCCTCATAGCCATAGAGGCATGGTTAAGAAACAGCCAAGAAGATGCTAAATCCCATCCCAGCCTTGACCGTCATCCTAGCCTTCTTGCCCCTGGCACTGATATCCTAGATTTACGAGATAAGCAGTTTGAAGAAGTACACCACCTGTTATGCTCAACAAAATGCTGGAACGTTAGGTCCAAAGGAAACTTGTTCTTTCTACCAGAAGGAGTCACTTCCTTTCACTCTGGCAAAATGACAAATGGCTACCTGTGGTGTCTACTGACCTACCAGGGACCATGCTGACCTCCAGACTCCTTCAGTATCAAAAGTATATATTAAAATAAAACTTGGAAAGGGCTACTCAAGATGGAGGCTGGCACAGGATTCTATGGTTTATTCCATGGGTACCAAATTTTCCCTGGGTAAAGCAGATGTTTATTTTCTCTCTCTTACTGCTTTATAAATCTTAATGCTCATTTGTGGGTGTCAATTACAAACAGTATAAATACACTTAAATCAAATTTGAAAATTTTGACTAATGATAGAACGAGTGGGAATGTATTAGGCTACTAAACTGTAATTATTTCATCTCATAATGAAAATCATCTCCATTAAAATATTAGCCATAGAGGCTCAGTATCAACTTGAACATCAATAGGAATCAATGATTTGATCACATGATCTAGAGCCAGTGGGAAAATGAAACTCCATCTAGAGGCCCTGAGAGCAACCCGAGACCCCTAAGACAAATCCAGGAACCCCAGATTGAATGAAAAGACCCTAGAAGTTCTCTCACACCTGAGAAAACTCACTCCATAAGAGTACATTGTGGCCTTTGCCTTTAAAGACCACACTCCTCTTTTAGTTGGGTGTCAGTACCAAATCTAACTATGGGAACCAAGGATAGTTACAGTTTAAATAAAACTTCAGTTAGTTTCAATTTAAACTGTGTTCATGGTCTCTTAGTGTTTTTGAGTCTATAACCCTGGAGCTAAGATTTTTCTGTAAAAAGACTTTGAAATAAGATTCTGATGCTTGAACTCAAGGGTCTTCACAAAGACACAAACCAAATATCAATAAGATAGTAGAAGTAAAGGTCTTGAAAAAGTATTTTTCTAGAGGGGACTTTGAGATGAGAGCAAATTGAAGGCACTGCATTAACAATTTCCTTTTAATAACAAAGAAAATTAGGAATTTACTATTTTTCTTCTTTCATTATACAACACAGAGCTGAGTTTCATGCTGTGACTCAAACAGGACATTCTTCTTCTTCTGGGCACCATTTATGTAGTAATATTCCTTTGATGTGTTGTCGTGGCACATGCCTTTAATCCCCGCATTTGTAGGCAGAGGCAGGGAAATCTCTGAATTTGAGACCAGTCCCAGGTCTACAGAAAAACTTCCAGGACTTTCTGGGGACACACAAACACACACACACACACACACACACACACACACACACAGATACACACATCTGTTAAGAAAACATTGCTGGGTTGGACCTAGAGACATGGACAACATTAGATACTAAAAATATGCCTACTACGCAATGGTAGAGAATCTAAGAGAAGCCACTTCTGAGCTGGTGTGTCTGTTATGCTGGCTACATCAGAGCAAGCACTTGAACAACTCTGCTGGTAGGAACTGATATAGGGAGGACCTGTTGATCTTTCTCAGATGTGAGAATTTTTCCTACTGCCTGGCCTCTATGGCTAATCAGTGTGGCTGGATTTGAACTCTGATCTTAAGGCAGACTTGGTTAGATAGTAAACAAAATAACACCACAGTTTCCAGTGCTGTGTTTTTTTGTGTGTGTGTGTGTGTGTGTGTGTGTGTGTGTGTGTGTGTGTGTGACCCCATGTGTATGAGTGTCTGGTGGTTTATCTTTTTTTTTGTTTCTTCAATTCATTCTTGTTTGTTTATTTGTTTTATCTCCCTGCTGGATTTCTAAGAGAGAGAGAGGGCATCAAGTTGGAATGGTGGAGAGGATCTGGGAGGAGATTGAAGAGGGAAAACAGTGATCAGAATATATTGTAGGAAAAGAACAATTTGAATAAAATCATCAGAAACACAGACAGAAATGTTGATGCTGTGGATACAAGGAGCTATAAGAAGAAATAAGTACTGAAGGCTGTGGTCATGGTTGGGTGCTGCACGGCTGAGAACAACAGTGTAAATGTCTAAGAAGTCCAGGGGGAAACCTGGCATCCTGAGTTCACAAATTGGTCAGGTCAGGATTACAGGTAATAGATCAGGATAAGCTTTGGAACTTCAATTAAAGCTTTGTGTAGGCTGAGGATAGAAAGATGGTTGCAGGACAAAAGGTCAGAGAAGAAGCAGGGATAGCCCACAAGGATGTCCTTGTGTCATCAAAGTCACTTTGCAGTCTCTGACTCATCAGTGGAATCTCCAGTACTATTCCCCATGCACTTACTGGACAAATACACATGATGTTTACGTCAGAATAACCAGTTCATGAAACACTGCTTGGAGAGATAGAGAGACCTTGTGTCAGGACAAGATGTAGCAGGCATGTGTTTATTCCAGGAATAACAGAATGTGTTAGCAATTGTAAAAGTCTGTGGAAATGACAGATGTCTTATGAACTATGGAATCAATGCCAGAGAAAATTATAAGCTTTCAAAAATTTTGTAAAACCTAGGAATCAGTGCTAAGTGGTTAAATTTATGAAGAACTTAACACTACATATTAATCTAAACACAAAATAAACAATAACAAGAGTATACGAGGAACTGAATATTATTCTTTCCATGAAAATTGAGCACTATTCATACAAAAATGCAACTAGCATTTCAATAGAATATCAACTTTGGTCTAGAACCATAGAAAATGTGTTTTTAAAAATTATCTAGCTGGTGGTCTGGCACATTCCTTAAATAATAGCACGTGGGAGGCAGAGGCAGGTAGATAGATCTCTGTGAGTTTGTAGCCAACCTGGTCTACAAAGTGAGTTCTAGGACTGCAAATGTTATACAGAGAAACTGTGTTTCAAAATGACAAATATATATATCTAACATAAATTGCTTGTCCAAAGCCCCAAAGACTGGAGGAATTCAGTGAATCACACCAAATCCCTGTGAGCAAGGCAGGCTGTGGATGAAACTGTAGTCTTGAGGACACAGAAACTCCACCTCAATCTGATCCTTCATGCATATCCAGCCACTGCCTCTTCCATGGTGAAGAGTCCTGGAAAAGGGCTCCTGACCCCACAATACAGGAAGGAATAAGAAAAGAAAGTTTAAAGTAATAGCAAGTTGAAGATAATGGCAAGTCAAATATATTTGATTATTGAAAGGGTATCCTTAGTATTGGAGCTTTTCTTCACCCTTGAAATGACTACTAAAGTTTAACAAGACTTGGTGTATAAGGATTCATTGAAGAGTCTGTACCTAGCTCAGAAGAGTCCTGACTAAGCCATACAAAGTACCAAAGAAACATAAAAACAGATTCTTTTTCTGCAAGGAAGTTTATTTGATAAGGAAAACAATTGAGGCTAAGTACAAGGGTAATGGAGATCATGATGCCCCAGAGTACATGTTGATACTGTCCCTGGTCTCAGCGGCAGCAGAGTATGGCAGGTAATGGACCTATTTTGCAAACCCCAGAAACACGCTCAGAACGTCTGCAGGATTTTTTTCTACAGAAGCATTTCACGCCTGGTGCAGCTGAGGAAACAGAGAACACCAGGCACTAAGTAAGGTATCCAGCAGTGTGCAATAGTATACAATACCATAAAGACACATGACATATGGTACAGAGGACATTTGTTTGTAACAGTGACATCACACCCAGAACCAAGATCAACTCCAAACACTGGGAAATAATACATTTAAAAAGTGTTGGTCACATGTGGATCCCACATTACAAACTGTTTTAAGTCTTCCTATAAAATAAAATATGTTTTATATTTTTGCAAAAAACAAAAAAACAAAAAAAAAACAAGTGTTGATCACATGACAGACTTGACAGGCATTTCTGTTCCTTCACCTTTTTGTGTCTTCCTGACCCAACACAATCATACACTGGCATTTGCTTCCTATATCTATTCTTTTAAGCAGAGAAGATTTTTCTTTCAAAAACAAAGTTAACAACTGGATAGACAAAGGGCTAATTAATATGCTCTATATTTTGAAACTATTCCACAGATAAATTTTTAGGTCAAAGTCCTCAAAAGAAAGACAATCAGTTATGCTTTTTTAAACTTTGTCTATTACTTCTATGAATAAGACAGTGAAGATCATGAAGGATCATCGGCAAAACTTTCCTGAATCACAAGGCTCTGCGCAGGATTCCAGGGCACCTCTTCAACTCTGTCTCAGGAGACCCCAACCCACTATCACACTTGGGCATCACCACTCACCTTGACCTGGAATAGCAGAGCCATCTGGGTCTCCAAAGGAGATGGACACATCTTGGTCTTCTTCTCCTGGCTGCAACTCATTTTTAGCCTCCTCATTTGCTTCTGGCAGAGGATCAGCCAGGGCCTGAAAGGCCAGCAGGACAAGGGCAGAGAGGAGGACAAGTGTCTTCATGGCTGAGAGTCACCTGGAGGAGGGATGAACAGGAGCCTAGTCTGTAGGGAGTGAGGAGCCAGGCTGTATTTATAGGGCTGTCATGAGAAGGTGCAGACACAGGTTCTATAGGGAGAGAGGGCACACACTGATGGAACTGGGAGAGACCCTTGCCCTCAAGATCCCTTTGATGTTCCTTTGTTCTCACAGCTGCTGCCATGATGTTGGTCTGTGTGTTCAGTGACAGCACTCCCTGCTCCCTTCCAGCTGACAATGATGAAGTGGCATAGCTCACTTCTCCTGTTTCCCATCTGCTTGAGTGTTTACCTTTCTGTAGTGAGGAAAAGAAAGAGGCGGGCATTTCAAAGTTAGTAAACTCATGGAACAGGGTTTTTTTGTTTTCTGAAGTGGGAACTTGCAGTTCTTAGAGAGTGAGGATCCTGGAACACACCTGTGGATTTGACACTCTTTTAGTCTTTTAGTCATTCTGGGGTTTAATCATCCTCATGAAGGAAGACTTTGTGAATCCCCTCCTTTGGGGCCTTTATGGAGAAAGTAAGATGGTCCTGGTGAATCTAGTTCGAGAGGAGTCGAGGGACAGAATTGGTCAGATTAAGGCTAGAGCATGTTGTCGTGAAGAAGCTGGTGTGACCTAAACACGTCTCATGAGGGCATTTCAGGTGCCTCTTCACACTTGGGGAGTCATCAAATGATGTGCTGTGGTTCACATCTGAGATTGTGGTCATTTTATTTTTAGGAGACAAGAATTAAGGCACAATTAACATCCTCTGAGCAAATTGAGAGCATGGGCAGAAGGGGGAGGAAGCTACCAGAGTGAGAAGGGAAGAAAAGGAAGGAAGCAGAGGTCACGAGGAAGCAGAAATATTGAGTCAGGTGTAGATTAGTAGAAAGGACATATGATACGTAGGATTTTAGTTGAGGGTGGTAGAAGAGGAAGGGAGGAAGAAGGGAACTGGGATCATCATGTAATTCAGTTTTGTTTGTAATTCAAATATATATAAAAATAAAAAACTAAAAAACAAAACAAAACAATACAATAAAGAGTTTGCATGCCAGGAAATCCTCCTCCTGGCTTTCCATGAAACCAGTAGTCTTCAGCATGACACTTTCCTGTACTGGACTGTTATGTTTTCCCTAGTACTCATGTTGTACAAAAGAATAAATGAATAAAGAAGTATATCAAATTTTCTATTGCCTTAAATTATTCATGGTATCTGCTAGTGATTCATTCATAAAATTGAGATCCTTTTCCAGTTTGTAGAATTTAGTGATTTCTGTGCATTTCTAATAAGTAGGAAAACATTCATATATATCATCTTATGGATACATATATAATACAAATATATAAATATACCATCTTGCCTAAAAGCCTCAATGGTTTTGATTACTTATCTAGAAGCAGAAAATCTACATTACCAAAGTGATGCATATAAAGTCATATAGGCTCACTGTTCCCATCCATAATACAATGGTGACTGTTGATCATGCTACTGACCATCATGAAGCCAATATGACAACCATCATGGATACCTCAAGCATCTTTCCAGATTGTATATTCCTCACTTGTAATTCCTTCAACCAGTGCCTTATACTCTCTTTGCATGTCCAGGCCCAACCAAGACTTGTCTGACCATTGTGGGAGTAGTCTACTGTTTACTTAACTGAAACAGAATCTTGTGGATACATATAAGATCTGATACATGCTGCTCATGCTGTGTACCAGGGATGGAGAATAATTAATGTACTACTCACTTTGACACCTGGAAAGTACATGCTACTTACCCATGATATTGTGAGGCTTAGTTAAGAGCCTTTGGAATGTAAGTGTCTGACTCTTAAATGAAACAGTTTTAAAGAATACCATGACTCCAGGTAGTAGCAAATGCAAGGAGGATACAGCTTACAGATGGAAAGTGAAATAAAGAAGTTCAAATGATTCTGCTAGCCCAGTTTTGAGCCTCTTCTCTCTCATTTTGATTTAAAATTATTTATAAAAAATCAATGTATATTTGTTTAATATATATTGTAGGAATCAAGGAGTCTTGATTTAAAAGAAAAAATAAAACAAAAACAACAGAATAGCTTAGAATTCAAGGAGAGACAGAACCATCTAAGAAAAAGAGACAGCAAAAAGAGAAGGTGGATATCTAGTGTTGGGGGTCTTGACCCGTTGTCAATTGTTTTTGTGCAGGCTCTTCTTACACTCTGTGGGGTTTCCAGAGCTCAGTGGCATGTGTGCTCAAAGGGCTATTCATGCTTGTTCTTCTATGGCTCTGGATAGAGAGATAGAGGGTTCTGACATCATAGAATGGGGACCACTTTCCCTTGAGGATGTCCATGCAGATGTGCCTTCCATATCTACTATGGGGTGGGAGCAGGGAGTGAGGAACTTCACCATGGGTCCATTGTAAGGGTAGGCACTGGAGAACTCTAGTGAGAGTTTATACCTCAGGTCTTGATATCCTGTGCACGCTGCTCCATGGATTGTCCCTACCCATTTGAACAGGTTGTCTGATTCAGGGAAGGGGGAAATCCCTTTGTCGCCAGAAAAAAAAAAGTGTCATCAATTCCTGCTGTATTCTCTCATCCACAGGGCCACTTGTGGCAACCCTCCTGGGCTCTGCTCCCTTGTAAATGTCAGTAACACTGGCAGCAGCTGAGTGGAGATTTTGTTAGAACATCCCAGGGTTGGCAGAGGAGCCTGACACAAAAACAGGAGTGCAGAGATGACAGGGCAACTCAATTTTCTCTTAATTTTCATGGACTCACTCACTAATGCATCTCACATGCAATAGCCTCACAGATTCTTCTGAAACAATTTTATTGTGATAGAATGAAAGAAGACAGCTCAAGAAGGAATATCAATGCATTCATTTTTGAGAACTGAAATGAAAAGCAAAGAGAAAGGCTATTTAAGAGATAAAATGTCAAGGAAACAAATTGTGCAAAAAGAAATCCAGACAACTGAAACTAAACTAATGAGGGCCAATACCATTTGTTTCTAGGAGACAGACTACCACCACATGTGACAACCTCAGGATCTACAAATGAAGGAGAAGCAGACTGCCATTAGCTGTCCTCTGACACCCACATGTGTACTGTGGCACATGAGTGCTCACTAGACAAAGGTTCATAAGAAAGATTCCCCCAAGTTGGTAAATATTACTTCCATCAGGCAAAGATGTATTTGCATTTGTGTATGTTGCAGAATATTTCTTTAGCTGGGTAAGGAATGTTACATTTCTTTATGCTGTATTTGTTTAACAATGGAAAGATGTGTTGCATTTGTTTCATTTTAACTTCCTAAGGCACCTGATAGGTTTAATAAAGAGCTGAATAGCCAATGGCTAGACAGAGAAGAGGGACAGGTGGAGCTGGCAGCAGAGAGAATAAAGAAGAGGTGAAATCTAGGCTTGAGAAGAATGAGAAGAGAGAAGAACAAGAGGATAGAACAGGGGAGAAACAGACAGAGATTCTGGGGTGAGCCAGGCAGCAGACAGAGAATTGGACAAGTAACAAGAAAGGTTAAAGGAAGGTAAAAATGCCCAAGGAAAAAGATAGAGAAACAGCTTAATTTAAGTTAAAAGATGTAGCCAGAAATGAGCCTAAGCTAAGTCATGATCTGGGAGACAGTTGTTGATAGAAAAGAAATGGCCTGGTACATTCCCCAGTTCAGTTACAGAATGCATGCTTTTGACTCACAGGTGGGTCCCCTAGTTTAGAGTAATCCCTAAGAACCTCAAAGAATTAACTTCATTTGCCCTTGGAGAAACATGGAAGAACTGCCAGTTCATATCCTAATTGAGAATTACTGTAGTTTGTGATAAGGAGAAGACATGTCCCTATTGAAATCCCATCTTCTCCACCAACATGGCATTGTCAACATATTGTCATCACTTATCATTATAATAAACTTCCAAACAAACTTCAGTAAGCAACCTATGGTATCATGGAAAACTACCCAAGATCTTTAAAATATCCCAGTCATCAATTAAACTTCAAAAGGAGAACACATGCTTACAGCCTCATAGCAGCCAGAGTTGTGGCAGGCCCAAGTTATGGATTCTTGCTGTGACTGTGGTCTCCTTTTAGAACATGGAAACACAGGGAAAAGTGTGTAAACTGGAACTGGAGTCACAATTCCTATATTGACTTCAAAATAAAAATCCATTAGACTTCACTGTGTCCTAAACACTCAATTTTAAAACAGGGTGGTTTGTATTTGAGAAACTCCTTAGCCATCCTAACATCATAGTCTTCTTGTCACAAATGTCTGCACGTTACTCTGTTGGACTTTCCCTGTTTTTCTTCTTCCCAACATCATTATTATTTCTATTACACTTAAATTCTAAGCTTGCCCAAGTCTCATCATTCCTCAAGAGAGACTCATTTTCTCACTCTTCTGTAGTTACATTAACCTCTCTTACTTTATCTTTGATAACTGCTTAAATTGTGGGATGTCTTTTTCATAATGAGATTACTAATGCCATAAAGTTCTTGAGGTGTTTGAAACCAGAAAATATGAACATTGCCAGTTTCACAAATATATGCCATTAACTATTGGATAAAACACTTAAATACTATTGAACTTAACCACTTTATACATAAGGTAAGAATTCTAAATTTTCATTTATTATACAAGTCAGGACAGCTTTGTGTGACTTCATAGAAATCATGATAATTTGAGTCTTATGATACCAGATAACATTCTCAAAGCCTAGAACATATGCAGTATGTTTGTATTAGTTTATCTTTATGAATTGCTGAGATCTTTTTTATCTATTTTGATAAGAGATTTTTCACAACAACCCAATAAAATAGCTGCTTTTGTTGACAAACATTTTGTGGCTTGGTAAAGAAACTTTGAAGAGTTTTATTTCCTTACTCAGAGACAATAAAGTTTAGGCAAGAGGGCTGTGCCCAAATTCCTTGTACTTCACCCCTCCCCTATATTCCACCTTAAGTTCTGCATTTTATAGTACTAAGTTCTGTCATTTATTGGGACTATTGGTTTTCCTTGATTAGAACCTGATAGTTGCTCAATGTTGTAGACTTCTGGTGGCAGATGATCTCTCCACAGGGTCTTCTTGTTCTCTGCCTCTGCAATTTTTCCTCCTCTGGATTAGTTGTGAATCCACCAGTGAATCACCTACAGTCCCTAGAAATACCTGATGAAAAGGGTTTTGCCAGTTATCACAAGCCAAAAAATTCACAAGGATGGTCACTGCTAATGAAATAGAGTTGATTATTAAGGGAAAATGCAATTTATGTTGACATTTTGCACACTGGCTTGTGACACAAAAAAGTGGAGGTTTGATCATACCCACATCCAATTCAGAGCACAGGAGACCTTAAGATTGCCTCACTGAAAAAGGGACTTCTTCTTAAAACTTATGTTTTAATGGTTCAAGATTGTCTCAGACATCAATAATAAGTTCTGGGCTGAACACTGGCAGGAAGAATGGCAAGTGAAAACGAATAACATAAGCAATTTAAATGAGCATGGTGGGTATGCAAATTTACTAAGTGCTACTGAGAGCAACTTTGAAAATCAGGAATGAGTGAGGGATGCGTCTGAAATATAAAATAAGGTTTTTGACTGATAAATATTAGTCCGCAAAGATATTGAAGAGGTCATGTACTATTAGGTAATGTGTGTGTGTGTGTGTGTGTGTGTGTGTGTGTGTGTGTGTGTGTAACTATGCATGTGCATATAAAATAGTAATCTTATTACTTTGATAGTTATTGCACACAGTATTAAAAACATTTTAACAATTGTGTTATTTGATGTTGTGTGTGTGTGTGTGTGTGTGTGTGTGTGTGTGTGTGTGTGTGTGTGTGTAACTATGCATGTGCATATAAAATAGTAATCTTATTACTTTGATAGTTATTGCACACAGTATTAAAAACATTTTAACAATGGAACAGTTTTTATCAAGATACAAATATGAGCTAGCGCTTATAACACTGGGACACCACATGCTGACAGATGTTAGTAGAGAGTTCTCTATCTTTTTGCCATATGCATAATGAGGGAAGTGGATGAAAACAGGTACAGAACAGTGTTCCTAGATGAATGGCAGTGGCTTCTTGAGAAGAGTCGCTTCTTGGGTTTAGGACAAAGGACATCAACCTCTACACACTTTGAATCTCGGAAGTAAGTTTGCATTTTACAAAAAGTTTTGAAAAATGCATAATCTGAGACATGAGCCTCAGCACATCATTTGATGGCTCTCAAGGTGTGAAGAGGAACATGGAATGCACCCATGACATGTGTTCAGGTCACACTAGGTTCTTAGAACAACCTGCTCTAGCTTCACTCTGGCCTACTCTGTCCCTCAGCTCCTCTTGAGCTAGATTCACCGGGGCCATCTTTCTCTATAAAGGCCCCGAAGGAAGATATTCACAAAGTCTTCCTCCATGAGAGTGATAATACTCCAAATCCCTCAAAGAACTGACTGTCCAATCCACAGGTACTCAGGTGTGGTTCAGGGTCCACACTGTCTGAGAACAGCAGGCTCAGACTTCTGAACAAAAACCCCTGTTTCATGAGCTTACTAACTTTGAAATGTCCGCCTCTTTCTTTTCCTTACTACAGAAAGGTAAATATTCAAGCAGATGGGAAACAGGACAAGAGAGCAAGGACCATATATCATTGTCACCTGAAAGGGAGGGCTGTGACAGAAAACACAGACCAACATCATGGCAGCAGCTGTGAGAACTGAGGAACATCAAAGGGATCTTGAGGGCAACAGTCTCTCCCAGTTCCATAAGTGTGTGACTTCTCTCCCTATAGAACCTGTGTCTGCACCTTCTCATGACAGCCCTATAAATGCAGCCTGGCTCCTCACTCCCCACACACTGGGCTCCTGTCCACCCTTCCTCCAGGTGACTCTCAGCCATGAAGACACTTGTCCTCCTCTCTGCCCTTGTCTTGCTGGCCTTTCAGGCCCTGGCTGACCCTCTGCCAGAAGCAACTGAGGAGGCTAAAAATGAGGAGCAGCCAGGATCAGAGGACCAAGATGTTTCCATCATACTTGGAAACCCAGAAGGCTCTGTTCTTCAAGGTCAAGGTGAGTGGTGACGCTCAGTGTGATTGTGGATTGGGGCTTCCTGAGACAGGGTTGAAGAGGTGCCCTGGAATCCTGTGGAGAGCTGTATGATTCAGGAAGAATCTTGATGATTAATAGAAGTCACACACAAAGCTAAAAAAGTGTAACAGATTTTCTTTCTTTTAATTTTTTTGTTCTAAAAATTTATCTGTGGAAGAATTTCAAAATATAGAACATACTGATCAGCTCTTTGTCTATCCAGTTGATAATTTTGTTATAGAAAGAAAAATCTTCTTTGCTTAAAAAGAATAGATTTAGGACCAAATGCCAGTGTACTATTGTGTTTGATCAGGACGGCACAGAAAGGCGAAGGAACCAAAATGCCTCTCAAGTCAGTTATGTGATCAACCCTTGTTAAATGTATTATGTTTGTGTATGTGTTTGGAGTTGATCATTGTACTGGGTGTGCTGTCACCAATAAAAAAACACCTCCTCTGTACCATATGTCATGTATCTTCATAGTATTGTACATTATTGCATACTGCTGGCTACCTTACTTTATGCCTGGTGTTCTCTGTTTCCTCAGCCTCAGCAGACCTGAAATGCAAATGTAGAAAAAGATCCTGCAGAGGTTCTGAACATGTCTCTGGGATATGCAAAATAGGTCCATTACGTGGGGTATTCTGCTGCCGCTGAAAACAGACAGAAGATTATCATGTTCTCTGGGATCTCATGATCTGTCATTACCCTTGAACCTAGCCTCAATTGTTTCCTTCTCCAATAAATTTTTTTGCACAACAGAACAAGAATCTGTTTTTATGTTTCCTTTGTGTTATTTGTGTGGTTCAGTCAGGACTTTTCTGAGATAAGGGACAGACTCTTCAAAGAATCCCTATACACAAACTCTTGGTTACACTTTAGTAGTCATTTCTAGGGTGAAGAGTTGCTTAGAAAGTAGGTCAAATCTCAGGATACACGTTCAATCATCATATGCATTTGATTTGCCATATCCTCATTTTGCTATTTCTTTTTTTTTGGTTTTTCCAGAAACATTTTGCTATTTCTTTACACTTTCTTCTCTATTGCTTCCTGTATTGTGGGGTCAGGAGCCCTGTTCTAGGACTCTTAACCTTTAGAGGTGGTGGCTTGATGTGCATTGAAGATCAGATTGATGTGGAGTTTCTGTGTCCTCAAGACCAGTTTCATCCATAGCCTGCATTGCACACTGGGATTTCTGGTGATTCATTGGATTCTTCCAGTCTTTGGGGCTTCATAGAAGAAATGTCTGTAAAGTATACATATTTGTTGTTTTGAAAACCAGTTTCTCTGAGTAGCCCTAGCAGTCCTGGAACTCACTTTAGACCAGGTTGACCACAATCTCACATAGATACCCCTGCCTCTGTCTCCCAGTGCTGGGATTAAAGGTATGTTTCACCACCACCCAGCTAGATAACTTTAAAAATGCATTTTCTCAGGTGTCAGGCAAAAGTCAGATTCCATTGAAAAGCTACTTGTATTTTTGTATTAGTAGTACTCAATTGTCATGGAAAGAATAACTTGCAGTTCTTTGAATACTCTTGTTATCACTCAGTTTGCATGTGATTAATATGTACTGTTAAGCTCTTCATAAATTTAGCAAATTACCATTGATTCCTAGATTTTTAAAAATTTACTTATTGTTAGTTTCACTGTTTCTGTTTCATGTCACAGCACCTGCTCAGTAA